AGTAGGTAGTGTTATTATTTATTCGGAACCCGAAAAGTATAACTTGTATTCTTATCAGATAAAGTTTACCTTAGACGCTCGCCCACTTCAACAACTCATTGGCCGACAAAACAATTGTGTCTTACTCTTGCTTGACCTTTTCGCAGAATTGCCAATATTGTTATGCCGAACTATTAGTATACAAATAAATTTTAAAGAAAATCAAATACTGTTCTTTGAGGCCTAAGGAGAACATGCTCCATCAATTTTGACCTGCTGTGAATACTGGTTCCGGCGTTTCAAAAGTGGTGATTTTGACACAACCGATAAGGCGCGGGAAGGAAGGCCACCAAGGCTTAGACGCCGAGTTGGAGACAACTTTCACCGAAGACCAGTGCCAAATCCAAAAAGACATGCGGCGATATTGGGCGTGACTCAACAAGACCTGTCATGGTGATTGAGGGCGGTTAGTATGGTCCAGAAAGACGAAAACTGGGTGACTCATGAACTCAAACGAAGATATATCGAGCAGCGTGTCACTGTTTCCCAAATGCTCTTTCAGTGGTACAAAGTGAAGCCGGGATTGTATTGTACTTTCACCGGCGATGAAAAATGGATTCATTACGATAATCCAAAGCGCCAGAAGGCGTATGTTAAGAACTCGATTCTGGACTAGCGACGTTAAAGCTAAAAAGTGGGTAGACGATCGATGGGGCCCTGCACAGACAACAATTAATGCGATTCAAGTAAGTGATTGCGAGAAAACGGCCGGAAAGCGCATACAGACATGAGTCACGATGGCTACCGTGGTGGCAGTGCAATATCGGTTTATTGATACAGCTAAAGATTGGATGGAAGCTGGATTGAGCTGGAAATCAGCAATGCATACCCCGAATCTGAAAGCGCCACAAAACTATACTCAGGCTCGACGGCTTTCTATACAGATGGTTCTAAGCTAAGCGAAAAAATAGACAGCGGGATTAACGCCAGTGAACTCAACTTAATCTTAGTTATTGCTTACCGGAACACTGTAGCGTTTTTCAGGCAGAGCTAAGCGCCATTGCGGATGCCGCTTGGTGGCGTACAGCTTCCACTCTTCCAGCACGGCCTATCACTATATAAACATTCTGACAGCCAAGCTGCTAATAAATCTCTAGAATCCAACAGAACAGCGTCCAAAGCAGAATGTAGAATGCATGCGTATAAAAGTTTCGTGACTATTTTATGGTTGCCTGGACACAGGAATATTCGTAGCAATTGAATGGCCGACGAGTCGGATAGAAAAGGGACGGAAATATTCGCGGTCAATTCTGTTCAAGACGTGGGCATACATACCCCTAAACTCCTGAAAACAAAGATTAAAGACTAAACACATCGGGGAGGTAAATACCAGCTAGGCCCTGGAAGCCACCGCCACATAAGTTTGGCCCAAAGTTCATGTAAAGCGATCTAAAGCCCTCACTCAGCTTGACCGCTCCTCTCTTAGATTAATAGTCGGGGTAATAACCGGACACTGCATTATGGGACACATGGAAAGAGACTGGGATGCCCAACCAACGATTCTTAGACGAAGAGGTGGAGAGTATCGAACACTATCTCTGCTACTGTTTCACCCTGGCCATGGCGCGCAACCATTTCTTCAAAAAGCCCGTTTTAGATTGCTTAGCTGACCTGAACTCAGCGAACATTTTCGACTTTCTGTGCAATGTAAAGCGCTTTACAGCTGACAGGGAGGCATTCTGGGCGGCATCTTATGAAGCCGTACATCAAGAATGATAGAATACAAGATTGCACCGATCAGAGAGGATTTTTGAGAATAACTTTTGTGTGACGTCACACTGGTGCAATTGCGAGAGAGAAATGCCAAAACGTGAGCAAGAATGGAAGAAGAAGAAAAATTGTTGCAAGGAAAACTTAAACAAGTTGCACAAGTGTGACGTCATGCAAACAACGATTCTGTCAAATTCGTTAAGAGAGGAATAGCGGTCCGAGATCGGCGCAACCTTTGTATTCTCTCAATCGTGGCCGTACATCATATACTATTGCACAACGACTGCAATGCCTTACAATCTGAAACTTATGCTATAGAGAAGGCAGGACTTCTAACTGACGTCATCACAGGACACTGTTCTATTGCACCGAAGTTTCAACGATGGCGACTACTAATGAGTTTTCTATGCTGAAGTAGCCGCGATTAAAATAAGGAGGAAGCAATTCGTTTCTGTGGCGATGTATGCGTCTGCAGTTGAGGCGACCTCTAGGACCACGCTTCTTCAAGAGTTTTGACATAGATATCGGATGTGGTACTCTTGGATCTCCTCTGTTTCAATGGGGTTATCAGATGGTTCAGCAGGTTATACAAATATTCTAAGTAATCATTTAGTGTTTTCATTCTAGCACATCACTATTGATTACTTGCACGCAACTGTTTGTATACTCAGCTGGATTATGCAAATATCCTTTAAGAATGAGTTAATGACTAGTTGGCGTAAAAATTAGCAGTTCTATTTAAGATTTCTACATGTGCTTATTTATGTAAATTTTCTGTAAATATTTACCTAAACGTAGATTAGGGTAGGCCAATTTTTTTTTGCCCATGCGCGTATAGCATATGCAAACTCCAAATTGATTTTAGACCCATGGTTTCTTCGGCAAATTTCCTTAGAATTACATGTAGAATCCTCCTATGCTATACGCGCATAAATCTTCCATACAAATTGACCCGCCCTAACACACATATTTTAACAAAAACTTTCCAGCACAACGATTTTGTGAAAACCAAACTAATTGAAAGACGAAAAATTTATTTCACTCAATGCGCTATTATCCAATTTCACAATACTCGCGTTGATTGCTGATGTCAAAAAAAAATTGTTTTCCTCAACGTCATCATGTTTGCTCTTGTTAATTGTTTGCTAAATTTGTGCTATATGTAGATATATGCGAAACGTATTGCACCGAATTGGGAAATGAAGTATAAAGCAAAACGAAGGGATGATTCATTGTTAAAGCTTTAAGTATGTATTCGCTTAGCAGGTGATTCGAATAAGAATGACGCAATTATGCAGCTATGGATGTACTTTCAATTAAATGATTTAATGTCGTTTTTTGATTAGGGTGATTGAGTCGGTTTTTCGAACCCGGTTTCAACCGGTTTTTGGAAATCCTGATTTTCCGAATACCTAGTAAACCGGAATTTTACAATCAAATAAACCGCGGTTTCACCTAGTTTATTTAGTATATACCGGAATACAAAATTTTTTTTTATTAATTTTATATATTAATGACATACTGGAAAATTTTTCAAATTTTTATTTTTTTTTTTATAAAAATATAGTTCATTCAATAGCAAAAACCAGCAGAATTAATTTTAGACATATAAAACTCGGAAAAATTCAAGGAATAAAAAAAATGTTCATCAAAATTTTCAACTTTTCAATTCGAATTTTAGAAAATTTTTGAGTATGCAGCTTTGTAACAAGTTTTAAGTCTCCGAAAATTGCCGCTGTTTTTTGACAATTTATTTAGTCGAATAGAAAATAGATTTTATTCATGCGTTATATGGAAGAAAATGCTTAACACCCTTGACGAAAAAATTCTCAAAAATCAACGGTAATTTTTAGAGACTTGAAACTTGCCCCTTATTAGTGAGCTACAAAACTGCAAATTCAAAATTTTTCTAAGAAATCGAATTAAAAAGTTTAAAATTGAATAGAAAATGAAAGCAAAGGCAAAGGGATAAACTGGCGCAAATTTTCAAACGAGAGAGAGAAAAGTGGCAGAGTTTTTTGGTGTCCGATCAAAACCGACCAACGATTGTAGTGCCAAAAAACCAAATTTTATAAGCAGAAAAAAAAAGTTATAAGCAAAATTGGCACTTACCTATGTTCCAGCTTACGCTTGTAACCCTGAGCGGGTGCCTCTGTAAGTGCGCCATTCTGATGAACCATCTCTTGCTGACCAGGCACGGATAGAGTGTTGACGCTGCTAATAGCTCTGCCACCACCACCACTGTCTCCAACAGCGGCACCGCCACCGCCACCACCACCGCCATCCCCGCTACCATTCAAATTCCTGCTGCCATTTGCTATAGCACTTGCGCCAGCGCTACTATTTGTTGACATTGATGTTCCAATGGGATTTTGTATCTCAAAAAAGTCTTGTAATATATCTGGCATACTATTCCGTTTGATTAATAAATGACGGGCACGTTGTTTTTGGAATAGTCTTTGCAAAACGCTATTTTTAGTAACAGAACCGACAACTAATGAAGTAAACGTTTTGAAGCGACGCTGATAAGCGTTAAATGAACGATAGATATAGTAAAGTGAGTAATTTTTATTAAATAAGTGTTCGTAATTGTTTTGCTTGTATGTGTGCGTGTGTTTGTTTGCGTCACTTGTAAAAAGGCTCTGACACTACAAAAAAAAAAACAACAACTTGGAATGCGCCGCCGTTTGCTATTTCACTTTACCGTGTGAATATCTAGAATCAAACCGTCTCTGTGGGTAGGTGTTGTCTAACTGGAATTACTTAGCGTTGAAACTCTCCCAATTTACGCGAAAAACACACGTTTTTACGCTTATTAAATAGCTGAGCGAAGGCAAAAAAGGTGATATAATTATGGAAAAAAATTCTAGTACGTAAATGTGTTACACCTTATCAGCTGGGTAGGTCGCTTATCATGTGCTGTGTTTGTACAAAAACAAATAATAGCATGAAAGAAAACTGCGAAAAAACAAAATTTATAAAGACAAGCTCAACTCACTTAGAGCACTCAGTTTCAGCTGTTGATATTCCGTCGTACACTCACCCACCCGCCCGTTCATAAAGCTTTCGGTGGGCGCATGAAAAAGAAAACAGAAAAAAACGCGCACAATGGAAACACGCTTTCTGGCGATCTGCTCCTCCTCTCTTTATGTATCTCTGAGAGATCACTCACGCTCACTATAAACTTCACGATCCACGATCAGTGTTGCCAAGCAAGCATTAACTGCCGGTTTTACCAGCAACTTAAAAAGCGAGACAGACGAGCACGCTTATGCAGATAAACCAGCACATAAATGCGCATAATAATTTTGCCCTGACAGACGGCAGTAATGCGGATAAACGAGCCGCAAGGTCGTGGGTTCGAGTCCGACGGCCAGTAAAATTTTCATTTATTTAATTTTTATGAATTTTTTTTATAAGTTCTATATTGTTTAACGTTGCTTTCAGTTAGTTGTTGTTGAGTTTTTAATAAAATTCGACTCTAAAAATTTAAATTAACTAATAGTAAAATAAAAAATGTGATATTAAATAAAGCAAATGAAAAAAGTAAACTAAAATTAAATATATAAATAAAAATAAAATGAAATAAATAATAAAAACAAAAAGCAATCGCTCCAAACGACGATCGAACCTGCCAGCTGCAGGCTTGTAGTACGCAACTCTCACTACTCGGCTATCGCGGACGCCAAACTCGCTTCCTTGTTTGCTTGCTTGTACAAAAGACAACAGCTGACCGTTTTTACTGGTGTTGTCATCGAAAATGCTCCGGATCCGAGTTGATTCCCAAAAAAAATTTCGTGCATTTGTTCGGTTGCTTATGTGCATTTGAAAGAGGAAAAGGCATGAGTTAATGCAACTAAAGGCTGTTTATGCAAATAAGCGAGCCCGTTTATCACCCGAATAAGTGAAAAATGATTTTTTGCTTTCTGTCAGTTTTCATGTTAAATTCAACTAAAAAAATGACTTTTTACTTAAATTACTTTCGTGAAACTGGCTATAAATTAACAAAAATCTGAAAACTAAAAAAATTAAGAACACATTTTTTTTTTAGGATTTAAATTTACAAAAAAACTTCTGACGGGAGACTCATTTTCAAAATATTTTCATTTGAGATACTGCGTTTTTGAACAGAATTCTGAGGTAAGGCGCTCTTCAACCAAATTCTGAAGTAGGGTGTTCTTGAAAAGTTTTCTCATATAGGGCGTTTTCGAACTGGCTGCCGAGATAGGGGTTTCGATATGAGGTTACATTAAATGGATGTTTCTAGATAGAAAATATTCCAGTCTCATTCAGTTTTAAATGAATAAAATTCTTCCGACTTTTTTTGCTTCTATTTTGCATAGAGCTGCCAATGTCGTACAAAGTTATAATTAATTATTCTTCACGAATATCACGCGAATTTTTAGTCGGTTGAAACGTATGGGCTATAAAACTGCATACTCAAAAATTTTGTCAAAATTCAGATTAAAAAGCTCGAAATTTTGTTGAATTTTTCTAGATTTTGTATAAAGTTTGAAGCTTTGATTTACATATAAGGTTTTGCCTAAATCTTGTTTAAGATTTTTATAGAAAAATACCTTGATAGGTATTGTCATTATTTAAAAAAAAATCCACACAAAAACACTTGTTTGAGTCACTGTATATCCAAAAGAATAACGCTTAAAGTCGTGGTTTCTATTTGTTACCAATTTTTGTTTTATTTTGATTAAACTGATGTTAAACCCACATATTTGGAAAATCTTCAAGCGCTGCCGGAAGTCTCTATAGTGAAGGTTTTTTATATGAAATTTTGGTTGAATTTTAATATCTACAATTTAAGATTTTAACGAGTTTTTTTTTTTAAGATAAGATTTTTGAAGATAAATCTGTACTTCTGGCAACACTGTCTACGATAAGCGCGCTCACTGAGATTACCTTGCTTATTATGACTCTCTAGCTAACACTCTCAGTATTTCATAAAACAAAATTTATGCGTTGTTATTTCTGGACTTGTTCACGTTGCAACTTTTTATTTTCAGTGCAATTCTCTGTTGTTGTTATGAAATTTCTTTTGGTGCAATCTTTTGAGGAGGCATAATTTGTATCCCAAAACACTTTTCATGTGTAAATTAATGTTTTAAATGAGTTATCATTCGAGATATTTTGGGGCATAAGAAATAGTGGATATTTGCAATATCATTTGTAATTAAAATTTTTTTTCCATAAAACTTTTTTTTTTAAATATTATTTCTGTTTATGTTTTGTTTGTTTGTCTACTCTATTATTATGCGCATCAGCGGTTCACTTTGTTCGCTGCTTTTTTCGATTTCAGACTTTGTTTGTCCATCATAAACATGCCAAAGCAACTAAAAAAAATATATATATGCATATCAACGTCTAAGTAGCAGCTACAGAGAACCTAGTATACCTAAGTAGGTACCTATATGTGTATATTTTTTTATATTTCTTGTGAGCGACAAACACGCAGAATGGATGTGTAAACAAAAGCTTTGTTTCCGCTGGCGGTTTGAAGCAGAAAAATAATTTGAATTCTTTTATGTATTTAAAATTTTTACGAATTATCAAAAACACCTAGATTTTTTTTTTATTTTGCACATTGCTGTTCAGATTTCTATACCTATTTATTTTATTAATTTGTTTTTCCGAAACTACAACCTACGCGCCGCTGCAATCAATAAATTAACGAAACTTGATTTTGCCGTTTGTAAAAGAAAGAAACAAAAAAAAAAAAGCGATCACGTAAAAATTCATGTACTTTTCCATACGAGGTTTGCCATTCAACTGATCGTAGCTCACCAGCAGCGCATTAGCTCGATATACATACGCGCATTTCCTCATGTAGGCAAATGAAAAAAAGTAAAAACAAAAAAATCGTAAAAATAATAAGAATACACAACGAAAAGCGGCTATCTAAAAGATCGTTCAACAACCATTGTATACTAAAGCAGCGTGCAAAAATGGGTGAGCGCATATTTACATACTTGTATGACTCGCTTATTGCAGAGAATTTGCTGGAAAAGAGCAGCTAGGGTTGCCACCACTGTCTCAATTTCCCGTTTAGTATTTTTAAGTGTGACACCGCGAATATAAATAATAGGGTGATAAAAGGTGGTGATTCAGATATTTAACAGCAATTATTTTTATTAATTTTATTTTATTTATTTTTCAGACAATTGGTACTACCAACAGGCTTTGGCAAACTTACAGCCGATTTCACGAAAGCAATTTAAATGAAAAATGATTTTAATTTTTTGAATTTTATATGGAAATTGACAGAAAATAAAGAATGATTTTCCATTTAAATTGCTGGTGAAACCGGTTGTTAGTCATGGAGCAAAACTCAGTTGAATAGTGCGTAGAAGTGATTCAAACGTTGATGCTTATGTAAAACAAAAATCACCATGAGCGATGACTCAGATTTTAACGTAAGCGTAAAGAAAAGAAAAAATAAATAACACTTTCAAAGCTTGCAAAAAGTTCACAAAAATTAATCTAACTTAAAAAAAAAAAGAATAGAAGAAAACGTGCTACAGGGAGATGTCCTTTCTTCTCTACTCTGGTCTCTCGTCGTGGATGCTGTTGGTAATGCGGACGACCTGGTAATTATTGTAACGGAAAAATTCGGCAGCATAGTATCAGAGGTTATCCGTGCAGCTCTGCGTGTGGTATCAAACCGGTGTACCAATGAGGGCCACCGCATAAACCCGCAAATGGCGGTTCTGGTACCGTTTATAAGAAGGTGCAAGCCGTGGGTGAAACAGTGTTTGAATACTCTATCGAAGTCAAATATCTCGGGGTTACATTGGATTAGATTGGTTTAACATGGGATCTAAACTCCAAACTAATATAATGGCTTTACAGAACTATATTCCGTGCGATTTTAACTTATGCCTTCATAGTCTGGTGGCCAAAAACGCTGCAAAAAACTGCCGTTTCGCGTCTAAACTCTAAAGGATGGCTCTACTGTCGGTGACAGAAGCAATGAGAACGTGTTCAACCTAGACCCCACAGCACATTTTTGTCCAAGCAGCAGCAGCTTCGAGGAATTTACAAATGCAAAATTCCGACAGAACTCTTAAAAACAAGACACAACACAAAGGTATTTTGAAAAAATACCAGGCCTAGGAATCTGCGAGTAGCCGACGCTACGCCACAGGAAATCTGGAGGTATTTGTGCGACAATGTGAGATAGGGCTTTTCTTTATTAAGGTAACGATATACTCATACATACTTACATACATATGCATGTGATATTATTGTCAAATACTTATTTTTGCCTTAATTTTGCAACTATTAACCAAATCCCCACAAAGCTAAAATTCCATTGGAGTGAAGCAATTTTCACGTAGTTGGCATCCCTGAGAGCACTGCAAGCCAGCACGTCGATTGTGGACTGCAACGCCTGAAAAGGTGTTGATGATAGTGGCACCTTAAAAGCCTCATTATGGCAACTTAACTTGACTTGACGGAACTTAGAATTTTGAAAATCAAAGTTAAACAGATTTAGACGTGGCATTAAGTT